GCGGGCCCTGTTCCCCCAGACGCTGCCTCCCGCCCTCTGTGCCTTTCCCGAGGTCAGGAGCTGCCAAACCCTTCCACCGCCTCCCGTGCCTGCTGGCTTTGGTTTAGGAACGTGCACCTGACTCGGCACTTGGCAGGATTGTGTGAAGAGCCGGGGCTGCGAAGGGAGGGTCTCCAGCTGGGAAGGGCGAGGGGACAGAGACAGAGGGGCGCTGGCTGAGGCTGGCATGGCCCGGGTGGTGATCGGCCGCCCAGCTGTCGGTACTCGTCACAGAGGCCCTGGTTCGGCGCCCGCCTTGGGGCTGTGCTCTCTGCACGGACACTGGCTTCCTCCTGGGAAATCCCAGGCTTGTGAACTTGAAGCCCATTGTGAAATGAAAGTAGCTTATTAAAAAAAAAATTTATCTGTTTATCATCTAAACAGAAACTTCTGGCCTGTTAGGGCTAGAAGAGATTTTGGATTTCACATCATGCGCCCTGTTCAGGTGACAGATGAAGATTCTGAGGCCTAGAAAAGTCAGACCTTCTGCAGGAAACCAGTTGGGTAGACAAAGGGGTTAGACCCGTTTCCCTTGATTTATCTGGTGGCCACCCTGGTGCCGGCCCAGGTTGTCTTAGTCTTTCTCCTTCTCCTTACAGGAGCTCTTTTCTCCTTCCCACTCTTCAGATCTTGACTTTGTCCTCTGTGCTTCCCGCTGAGATGTCTTTGTTTTTGGTCTTGAGCACATGCACGTGCCGGCCAGTGTCCATCGGTAGCCCCCACACTGCGCTGCCCTGAACCCCTTACCGTGCAGTGGCCCTTGGCCTCCTTGTGCTCTGACTGCTGACCTGCCCTCGGGCTTGGCCTCGTTGAGTATCGGGAAGGTTCTGGCGACTCTGTCGTCAGTTTTGTCTTATTTTCCTCCCTTTGTGCTCGTCCCTTTGGGTCATTTTGTTGTTGTTTTTCTATTCATTTTAAGAAGTAGTACAACCTCCAGTGACATAATAAATGTGGAAACCTGGTCTGGGGCCTGAGTAAATGGTTTTAAAATAGATCATTAATGTTGCAATGAGGAATGTTAACACAGGTCTTGGTGTATCAATTTCACGATGGCCGATATAAGTAACAGCTAGCCGGTGCAGCCTCACTGTGAAAACACATGTTCATGTAAAGGTGCATATACTTTTTATGTATAATAAATCTTCTTTTAAGGTCAAATTTGCAAAAAAATATTTGCTTTGTGTTAGAGTGGCCTTATCTTCTGCAGCACTTTATAGCTACATAATGACTCTAAAATGGGATGATGGCCCCTGATAATAATTAGAAAAAGCTATTTAAGAAGCCAGCAAGTGGAATGTGGCCTGGGGCCTTCAGCACCAACAGGAGGTGACATGATGCAGGTGGAAAATTCCACAGCTTAGATTCTAAACAAGTTCTGGTAATCAGTATCATAAAATAGCTCACAGAGTTTACAGTTCCTTCATTTAGGAGAGAAAGGGACAATTCCTCATTTATCTCAAGTCTTTTATGTTGGCAATTCCACCCTTAATTAAAAAGACATTGGCATTTTCATTATGAAAAATGGTTTTCATGGATTGATAGCCTAGTGCATTAATATAGTGTTTCAAAATTGATTGGCATCAGCCTGTAGAGTTAGTTTTATACAAAAGCAACTTAATAATTGATTTTGGAGTGTTTTGATTTTAAAGAGTTTTGATTTTAAAGACCATTTCAGGTCCCTGTTCCTCCTGTCCTGGGTCCACTGTATTGACGTGCTCGGTTCTGGAGAACTAAGGGGTAAATACACGCCTCTTCCAAAAAAGACCCCAGGCAGTACCTTTCTCTGTGGAGGGGGCTTCCAGGGGGCCAGGGCGACAAGCACCGGCCCCACTCCTCACGCTGTGGTCCCGCTTCGAACTGTGTATTTCAGAGTGGACTAATAATTCTGAGAGTAATAGCAATAACATTTTCCTGAGTATTCATGCCCAGGCCCTGAGTTCTGTCCCCTCTAGTGTTCACAGCCCTACGGCGGTGGGTAGCCTGATGGTGCCGTACAGGTGAGGGAGCTGAGACACCCCCCAGCAGATCACCTGAGCAACCTCACACCCGTGGCTGGTTATTCTCGCCATTTCTCTGCTGCCTCTCGTCCGTCCTGCATATCGCTGCTGGTCCCGTCTGTGTGCTTTATAACATTCTCCTTGAGAAACACCTCGCATGGGGGTGGGGCCCAGACTTCGTACCCTTAATCCCACCTCCTCCTCACCTGATCTGCCGCAGGTACACCCTCACCCCCAGGGGAGCTGACTGTCCTTTCTCAGCCGCCTCCCCTGCCAGCACAGCAAATGCCTCCTCTTGTCATGGACGCTGCTAGCACCTCAGGTGCACAGCCAGACAGACTTGGGCATGAATCGCTTCCCTTGACCTTATGCGTCCAGTCCGGGCTGGTTAGCGCTCTGTCTCTGGCCCTCGGTGAAGCTCCCTAACCCCTCAGGGCAGACGTGACTCCACTGTCTGCCAAAAGCCGCCCAAAATGCCTGGACCAAATATATATCTTCACGTTTTGATCTTTTTTGTGCCTTGATCTTAACTCACTTCCAAGTTATAGATTTTAAAGACTGTGGTTTTGATATATCTTTGATCTCTGAGCTCTCATTTTTAAAGGGAGGATTGATTAATTTGTAAAAATCTGTAAAATTTCATAAAGAAATGTCAGTTGTGTACTGCCATACTTTTAATACATCGCATTGGGGTCTGAAACCACCTGTATTCAAGTGCAAAACATTAGATTGGCACAAAATGTGGCATATAATTCGTTTCTCTGCGTTTTTAGAAATCCTCTTGCCAAGTCTATTTTTAAAAACTGAACTAGCGATATAACTGTCACACCTTCCTTCTCATTAGTTATCAGAACAGGAAGGAAGCTTTTTGAATATTAGCCAAGCCTGTAAAAGAAACTGATAAAGTATCCTGAGCTGTGGTCCTCCAAGCTACAGGGTTTGTGAAAATGCCGTAAAAGATGAGCCGACCGAATCCTGGCCGACGGGAGAGACCTTGATTTCACCACCGTGAGCCCCAGTTTCGTCACAGCAGCAGATGTAGTGGGGTCTGGGCCCCTGGGGCTGTCATGGCGCCTCTGCATGTTGTGTCGAGCTGAGTCGCACTGACCTGTTCACTGGTGTGTCCTTTCGGTCTGCTGGGGACCCTGAACCAACTGCCACAGACCAAGAGGCTCACACAACAGGCGTTTCTTTTCTTGTCGTCGAGAGGCTCGCAGTCCAAGGCCACGGTGCCAGGCACATGGTTCCTCTGAGGCCCCGTGGCGGGCGCCACCTCCTTGCTGGGAGCCCATGGTGACTTTGCTCTGCTCATACGCCCAGGTGTCTCTCTGCCCTCACCTCTGCTGCTTACACGGACACCAGTCAGACTGGGTTCAGGTCCGCCTGCCGGCCTCCCGGCACCTTCCTCCTGTGTAAGGCCTGGGGAGTCACGTCTGAGGCCTGGGAGTTCGGGCTTCCGCACAGGAATTTCAGTGAGACACAGTCCAGCACATGATGTCTATTAACATTGATTTTAAATTATACAGGGAGACTTGTATGAAAAAGAAGCCAAAAATAGCCTTCCACCTAGTTAATGCCTGTTACGAAGAAGTGGGGGTAGGTACGTGAGAAGATAATTCAGTGTATCGAAGGGTGTAAGAGGAAAATAACTCTCCCAGCCCCCACCTTCTGCACTGAGGCAGCTTCTTGAAACACACTTACACGAGGGTTTCCAGAGCCCAGGCGCATTTTTCAAGCCTTGAAGTGTCGCACAGAGAGCACGTTTCTCTATTTTCACGCGCTGTGTTGGCCTTCTTTTAGATGGCTGCATAGTGTTCCATCGTGTACCTACCAGATTTCCGTTTAACTAGTCACTTATTGCCGGGCATTCAGGCTGTTCCCAGGTCACCCTGCCCATCAGACAGGGGAGCTAGCTTCCACTCAAATCCACATCGTGGGAAGAGTAGTGACTAGCCATCTAATAAAAACAACAGGCGTCCACCCTGTTTGCTGGTCCTTCTGGGCTGTGGGGCAAGGTCCTCAGCCTTTCCTGCCCTCCGGGGCCGGCCAGCCCAGCACCCTGCTGGCCCTAGTGGCAGCTGTGGCCTCCCATGCGCAGTCCTGCCTCCTCAGGAAGGAGGGCCGCTCCGAGTCATCAGCAGGCAGACTGTTCTTAGGGAAGTAAAACACCTGTAAGAGTTGCTGTTTCTAAGTCCAGGACACACAGGAGACCTGGCCTCCTCCGCCCTCTAGAGACGGGCTGGCAGGCCTAGAGGTGGCGGTGGCCTCGAGGAGGCCTCAGCCCAACGCCCAGCCCAGCCCCCAGGCCGCCTGCACCCCTGGCCTCCATGGGGCGATGGCCTTCCCTTCAGGAAGCGAGGCTCTCTCACATGCTCTCCATCTCCAGACCCAGGGGGAGCCCATTTTCCCCCAGGATGTCTGACCACAGTGGGCAGCACGGTGCCGACCCAGCTGTGGGAAAGAACAGAGATGCGCGGCCTAACTCCGTGTCCCCACAAAGGGCGAGGCGGCTGGGGTTCCTAGTGATGAGGACGTCCCCAAGGCTCCGGTCTCCTGGTGCATGAGGCCGCGCTGTGTGTACGGCTTTGGTGCAGGAAAAGTATAATTTAGTGCCAGCTTCAAAAAGTAGTCTGAAGTGTTTCTCATCCTGGAAAGCTTTCAAAACGCAGATGCCTAGCAGGGGAAACCACGTTTCCTGGGGAGAGAGCCAGTATTTTTGGGAAGTTCCCCCTGGTGATTCTGGCCCACAGCGAGGGTCCAGGCCACTGACATACATGCCTGACCGTCCCACATGCAGGATAAGGAGGAATGAGCACTAAGAATGTCACGTGGCTGCTCGAGGTCAGGTCTGGTCGCAGAAGCAGGTCCTGGACTTGGGTTTGGTCCTGCCCCTGGCCCCCCTGCTGCCTGTGCCGCCCACTTGCATTTGTCTGTTGTATTTATTGATGCCTCCTCGTCCTTCAGGTGGTGTTCCTGCCTCCAAGAGGCCTTTTCTGGCTCCTCACCCCGCCCTCCCGTCCAGCCTGGGTAAGACCCTTGCGTTCCATCTGAGCAGAACCCTTACTTCCCGTGACCCGTGCTGGCAGTGCCAGGACCTGACCCATGCCAGCGGCTGGGAGGGTCCCAGACAGTATTGTTGAGTTGAAGTTCCCTAACTTTATTACTCAGTGAGTCCACACGGACTGCAAAAAATGACCCATTCCTATTTGCCAGATCCTGGAGAGAGATTTTTGGCTAGGACAAAATATTGTAAGGCTCTTTTGATGACAAAACAATGAAAACAAGATTTCGGTGACCTTCCATGTTGCTCAGGGCCTTTGGAATAACATACTTATAAGTGTGACACCAGTGAGAGGAGAGAGCCCGTGGCATTTCCTTAAGAAAAAAAAAATTGAAGAAAATAATACTGTTCCATGTAAATGTTTCAAGGGATAAATTATTTCCTGTCATCTGCATATACAACTGAGCCACACATTCTGTTAGCATAGCTGAGTTAAATCCTCTCACTTCTCTGGATTTGTATGTTAAAGGTTTTTTAATTGATTTTTTTTAAAAAGCTCTGTCTTTCATCCTCCCAGTTTACTAAAGGTCATGCCTGCCTGGCATCTTATTTTTATTTGAAAACTGTTTCCGGGTCTATGGTATCTGTGGTTTCTCTTGTAACTCCACCAGGAACTTGTCTCAGAAAGCAGGTTGTGGCCAGAATCTCTGTAGCTTACAGGTGGTGCTCTTGTTTGGAGGGCTCAGGCTCAGAGCTTCTGCAGACGACTGCGCCCCGGGCTAGGCTCTAGGGTAAATGTTAAGGTGGTGGGAAGATTGCAGACAGGGTATAAGAATGGCCGGAGCCCATGGCAGCATTTCCAATCTCAGACGTCTTAGGTTTGAGCTCTGTAATGGGAGAGGGCAGGTAGCAGTGGACAAGTGAAGCCATTGTGTGTTAGGGGAAATCTTCCTAAAACAAACACCCTTAAAAATTTCAGGAGAAAGTGAAAAGTCATTCAGCTAGAGATAAATGGAAAACATTTTTATATTAAAATAATTTTGAATATATTGTGGATAAAATGTAAAGTTCGCATGACTTGTTTTTTCAAGACAAAATATGAGATTTTAAAGAAGCACCTCTGTTTAGTTTCTCCCTTGCTGCTCTTTGGAGGAAAAATCAACAAACCAATGAAAGGTTTTGCTAAGTAACCAACCCCTGTCAGTAATTGCAGAGGCTCTGCAGTGCGGGGGCTGGGGGGGTGGGGGTGGGGAGTGGGGTGGGGGGAGGGCGAGCAAAGTTCTCCCGAAGGGCACTGCACTCTGTGCTCCAGCCCATGCTGCCCCGTCCCGTCTGGACTGCCCTGCATCTTAGGACTTACTCCCGTGGAGGAGGTTTCTGTGCACCTGTGCCTGGGGGCAGAGCCAGAACTTGAGCATAGGTCTGTCCGGGTCCAAAGTCCCTGTACATGTCCACCGAACACGGCCCCTTGGGTCATGAGAGGAGGGCTCTCCCGAGAGAGACGTGCCGCTGTTTCCCTGCCAGGAGAAGCAGGCCGCCTTCGGCTTCCCTCTAATGTCATTTCACACCAGTGAGTGATTATAAGCTGGCGCAGCTAAAAGCCTTGCCTCCTGATTTCTCTGAAGTTCTGACTTTAAAGTGACAAGCCGTTTTTGCAGTGACCCTCAGTTCCAGTGTGTTCACTGCTGGGATGTGAAAGGGAGGAAAGGAAGAGCCGGCAGTGGCCATTTTGGGTCAAAAAACATAAAATGCCAGATAGGACTTGCAACCTGCCTCCCAGACATCAAACATTTGACTTGGCAGAGGCAGCAAAGCAAACGGTTGACAATCTGCCCTTGGCCAAGGTTGGGGATCCTGGTCCTGGGTCTAGGATCCTGGCCCCAAGGTTGGGGATCCTGGTTGTGGGCCTGGGGTCCTGGTCCGGGTTGGGGATCCTGGCCCCGGGTCTGGGGTCCTGGCCCTGCTGCCACAGCTGTGGGCTCATGGGCAGGCGCCTGAGCCGTCTGTGCCCTCGTTTCCGCCTCGGTGAGCTGGGGATGGTGATGTGATTGCTGTCTTAAGAACCGAATGATAACATAAGCATGTCAAGTGCTCAGAACACTGTGTGATGCAAAGCCAGTGCTCGGTAGTGTTCAGTCCTCAGTGGGGAAGAGCAGGTGCTGCGTGACTGGCCATCCCAGCCCTCGTACCCACTCAGAGAGGCGGGAGTCTGGGTTCACGTGTGACCGCGTAGCGAGAGCTTATCGATGCTTTATTCATGATAACTAGAACCCGGGACCACTCCGAGGCCCATCAGCCGGTAAACGGATAAACCATGGTGCGTGCGTGCAGCGGGCCCTGCCCAGCGAAGGGAGCAGATCCCAGGTGCAGGCAGTGTGGACGCACCCCAGAAGCATTCCCAGTGAGAGCGCAGACATGAAAGGCCGCACACTGGTTGGTTGCACTCACATGGAGTTCCGGGAAGTCAGAACTCAGCTCTCGCTGCCAAGGGCCGCAGGGCAGGGAGACGGGCTGCGGAGGACAGGAGGAGGCCCTTGGGGGTGACAGACGCAGCCTGGGTTGTGGGGGTGGCTACCTGGGTGTGTGCGTTTGCCAAGGCACATCAGGCTCAAAAAGGATTCATTTTCACCGTTTCTAAGTCATACCTGAGTAAACCCGACTTTAAATAGAAAGCCGTGTCTGCAATGTAGGCAGAGAAGTGGAAGAAACAGGTTTAGGAACCGTAACTATCGGGAGTTACAGCAGCTGCAGCTGCCGTGAGTGGGAGCTGCCCTCTGGCTGGCGCGGGTGGACCGGTGTGGAGGCGGCGGGCCCTCTCCCCTGCCCCCACCTGACTCCCCCTGCGTGGGCGCTGGCCTGCTTGCTTGTCTCTCAAGCTCCCCGGGAGGCCGCCCCTGGTCCCAGGCTGCCCCTGCAGGAGGGCTGCCTGCCGCTACCTCACGGAACACCCCGTGGGTGCCCTGGACGGGCCGAGGGCCGCTGAGGGTCCGGCTCGCCAGAGGCTGAGGGGTGCGTCTCAGAGCTGGGCCCCTTCGTCTGCCCCGGGCCTCGGCCCCTTCTGCCGGAGCCCTGCTGCCCCTGCAGCCCGTCACCCCCTCAGGAATGCGGCTCAGACCCCGTGGCCCGCAGTCCCCCCTCCCCACCCTGGCACGGCTTCCCCTTATCACCAAGCAGAATCAGTCCTTCAGAAAATACTTCTGCCTAGTTTCTATCACGGAATATAAGCTCCCTAAAAAGGGACTTTCCTGTTTTGTTAGCTGCTCATCATCTGCTCCTAGCACAGTGTCTGGCATCTAACAGGGGCCACAGCAGGAATTCTTAGGTTTTTATGTGTGGTGGGGGTGGAGAAGCTCCCCTCTGCCCTTTGAGGTTCTTCCAGCCGGTCTAAGAACCAAACTGACACGGGACGGATTAACAGGAGAAAAAGCCAAAGTTTAATTACATGTACCCACAGGCCCAGTAATGAAATCGAGACCCAAAGAAACGGCCAAGGCGGGAAGCTTTTATATGTTTTAGGTGAAGAGGCGATAAATCTGAGGAATTGAAAGGACAAAGAAAACAGGTTTGGGAGCTTAAACAGTAAGGAATTCTAAACAGCATTTGGATGGGATTGTAAATTAGAAAGAAAGTGACAAGGTGCTTGGCTGTCTCTCCTTATCTCCGGTGATAAGGGTGTCTCTCTGCCTCCTGGCTCCTCTCACCTGGGGACTTATTTCCTTGTTTCGGAGGGACGGAGGAGGGTCAGAGTGTCCCCTCCTGCCTAGGCTGTTTCCTCAGTCACTTTAATTCAAAGTGATCAAAAGGCCAGAAAGGCACCTTTTGGGACAGCCTGCCCCGGACCCCTACAGTGGATGCCCTGAGATGTTTGATGCCATCCTTGCCCCCATTTTTTCAAGAAGAGAAAATTATTAAGTTTTTATTTTTGTCAACACTTTGTATGATTAGTTTACAAAGTTTACATAGAGAGTTAAATAACACAAGATACATTATAAAAACCAGCAGCTCCGTTCCCATTTTCCATTCCCCAGTGGCAAATGTTTTCAGCCTTAGCTGATTATTTTAGTAATTACTTCTGAGTCTTTAATCAGCATACTTGTTACTTACCTGTTTTTCAGTTTGATCCAAAAGTGTGTGTTTGACCACTTTCTCCCACCCCCGCCCCCTCTCCTTCTCACAGCGACTTTCCCAGCCCCCGACCCCAGTTGTACTCACCTGGGCCTTCGGTAAGGTCGGAGTGCAGAGTCCACGATGGTGCCCAGCCCTGCGCAGCAGCGCCCTGTGACATGGGCCAAGTAGTTTTCCTCTCAAGGTAGCAGATGCCGATTTTTTCATTCCCTACATTTTGAATGATATTCAGCCTCAGGCTTTACCCCGGTTGTGAATCTCGTCTCAGTCAACCACATGGAGAACCTGTCAGATTCTTTTTGGGGCTAATTCCTCCCAGAGCCATCTGATCTCTCCCCCTAGGTTGCCTCTGGGCCCCAAGCGGCTGGGGCTTCCCCTGGGCCACCCTCCTGGGGACCGTTTGGCCTCTGGTGTCCTGCAGCTGTCAGTCCCTGGGACTTAGGATTTATTCATTGTTTTCATTTACCCCTTCGCTGTGGTGGAGCACATTCTCCAGTGTCCTGTGGAGAAAGGACGGAAGAGCCGGTTCCCTGAGGCCTGTGGGTCTGACAGTTCCTTTGCTTTCCCCTTGCTTTTGTGATTCTAAGGGGGAAGTCCTCTGTCCTCTGACTTTGGAATCCTCTACCTTCCAGAGCTGCTTTTAATAAATTCCTGCAATTCTGACTTAAAGTCCTGTGTGAGAAAGCTCTTTTCTTTTTCTCTCTGGAAATTCCGTGATGGTGTATCTTGGTGTAGGTGTATTTGTGTTTAATGCGCTGGAGACTTGAGGCCCTTTCACTGTGCAGAGCGTGTTCTCCCCACCCCATCCTTCCTTTAAACGGAAAAAACCGTATCCGTCAGTTCTGGGGGAAAGATGTCCTTCAAATCTGGAAGAAAATGCCCTTCGATTTTGGGAGTGTTC